TAGTATGCCTTTGTCTTTGTCTCTGATGATTATCATACCAAGTATTTGTTTAGCAGCTCACAGATCCTTCATTTTAAACTGTTTTGACAACTGTTGCTCTAGCCTGTCAATCTCTTCCATGCTGGATCCTGCAATCAACATATCATCCATATACAACAGTAGAATGATATAGGTGTTGTCAAAATATTTGACATAGCAACAATGATCAGCCTGACATTTTGTGTATCCCGAACTACACATGAAGTTGTCAAACTTCTTGTACCACTGTCTTGGAGCTTGCTTCAAACCATATACTCTGTAAACCCACTTGTTTTGCAGGGCCTTCTTTCCTTCAGGCAGTTTGGTTAACTCCCAAGTCTTGTTCTTCAGCAATGACTCCATCTCGTCCTTCATGGCTAACTCCCACTTGCTCGAGTTTCCATCTTGTAAGGATTCTTCATAATTTAATGGTTCACCACCATCGGTCAGCAAGATATAATTCAGTAGAAGTGTGAACCGTTGTGGAGGCTTTATAGTCCTTGAAGACCTGCGAACAGCTGGTTCACTTGGCTCTGCACTATCTTGTGTAGAAGTGGTGGGTACTGAAGTGCTTGAACTATCTTGTGTGGACTCTTGAGTGGTAACATCAGGAAGCCCTTCTAATTGTATGAATTCAGATTTCTGTGGACTCGTATCTGAATCAGTTATCTCTAGTTCTGTACTTGATTTGTCTTTGTACAAAACTTTCTCGTTGAAGATCACGTTCCTGCTTCTGATAATCTTCCTGTTTTGATCATCCCAGAACCGAAATCCAAATTCTTCATCTCCATAGCCAATAAAGAAACATTTCTTTGATTTGGCATCCAGCTTGTTGCGAGCATCAGAGTCTACATGCACATAGGAAACACACCCAAAGACTTTTAGGTGAGCAAGCTGTACTTCTTTTCCTCTCCAGACTTCCTCGGGCAGTCTGAACTCCAAAGGTACTGATGGTCCACGGTTGATCAAGTAAACTGCAGTATGAACTGCATCAGCCCAGAATGTTTGAGGTAGCCCAGAATGCAACCTCATGCTTCTAGCTCGTTCATTGATGGTCCGGTTCATCCGTTCAGCAATACCATTCTGTTGTGGTGTGCCTGGAACTGTCTTTTCCATTCTGATACCGTTGACAGCGCAATACTCCTTGAAACCTCCATCAATTTATTCTCTTTCATTGTCAGATCGTAAGCATTTTAACTTCAAACCTGATTCAGTCTCAACCATAGCCTTCCATTTCTTGAATGTGTCAAACACATTATATTTATTTTTCAGAAAGTAGACCCACACCTTCCTACTAAACTCATCAATAAAAATCACATAGTACCGAGAACATTACAAGTCACATAGTATCGAGAACCGCCAAGAGATGCTACTGGAGCTGGTCCCCATAAATCTGTGTGCACCAGTTCTAGTTTTCTTGGTCTTAAGGTCTTGCCAACCTTTAAGAAACTGAGCTTCTTCTGTTTTCCGAGAACACAGCTTTCACAAATGTCTAGATCAATATTTTTTAACTTTGGCAGCTTTCCCTTTGACTGAAGTATCTTCATCCCCTTTTGACTCATATGGCCGAGTCTACAATGTCATAACTGTGCCTGATTTTCTACTTCAGTAGAGGCAATTATATCTACTGATCTTGTGGTCATATATAGGGTGCTGATTTTCTTTCCATGAGCCAAAACCATTGCTCCTTTTGATGCCTTCCACATTACTCTAGAAAAAAGGATTGAATGACCACTATCATCAAGTTGTCCGACCGAGATCAGCTTCTAGTTGTCCGACCGAGATCAACTTCTTCTTTAGTTTAGGAACATGCCTTACATTTTGCAAGTTCCATATAGATCCATTCATTGTCTTGATTTGCACATCTCCTATACCCACAATATCCAATGGTTGTCCATCGGCCAGATAAACTACACCGTGATCTCCAGTAATATAGTTTTGCATCATTTCATGGTGTGGTGTATAGTGAAATGAAGCACCAGAATCAAGAACTCAATCATCAATAGGACTATGTACAGTAAGAATCAAAGCATCTTGTACCTCATCTGTAGTGGTGTTGGCAAAATCAGCTTCAGGTTTTTTCAGTTTTGTGCAACTCCTCATGAAATGACTAGCTTTGCCACAATCCCAATATTCAACCTGTTTTCTGGGTTCAAACTTGCTTTTACTTCTGTACCTAGATTTTGATCTGCCTTTAGATAAGCCTCTGTCTTGTCTCCTTCCTCGAGTGTTGATGTTGAGAGCTAAACCTGGACTTGAGCTTTCACCCAAGTCTTTCCTTCGTACTTCTTCAACTAAAATCAGGTCTTGGATGTCATCATATTTCAATTTGGATTTTCTGGCTGAGTTGCTTACGACTATTCTCATACCTTCCCAACTGCTTGGAAGTGAAGCTAGCAAAATAAGTGCACGGATCTCATCATCAAACTCAATCTCAACAGATGATAATTGATTTGTGATGGTGTTGAAATTATTAAGATGTTGTGCAACAGAGGTGCTTTCTGTCATCTTCAGGTTGAACAGCTTCTTCATCAAGTGCACTTTGTTATTTGCTAAGGGCTTCTCATACATCCCATACAAGGCTTCCATCAATCTTGTAGTGAATTTCTCTTTTGTAACATTATGAGCAACTCTTCTTGACAATGATAGCCGGATAATGCCCAAGACTTGTCTATCAAGTATTTGCCAATCTTCTTCTGACATGTTTTCTGGCTTGCTCCCCAACAGAGGAAGATGAAGTTTCTTTTCATATAGATAGTCTTCAATTTGCATTTTTCAATATCCAAAATCTGTTCTATTAAATTTTTCAATTCCCACAACCTTTATTTCATTTGCCATTTTTAATATTTCTCAGATTTGAATCTACAAAATCTGACCTTACAGATATGTCCGGAATGACCAAAAATGTTAGAAACGACACTAAGATCACCCAAATCGAACTTCGGATGGCTCAGATTTAAACAATCAAACTTTTGGATCACTAGACGCTGCAGATAAAGCCACGTGTCAGGAGGAATAGTCGTTGCATCACACCGGATCAAAACCTAGAATGCTGACGTGTTCGCCACGTAAGATATACGGGCCC